ATAAAAAAGATTTCGATAATAATTTTAACATTTTAATAATAAAGGCGGAAGGGGCGCTCCCAGTATATTTTTGGTATAGCGGCGGCCCTGAGTCAGAGCGCCCGGCGCCGCGGCGGCTCGGCCGCGCGGTGGTGTGGGGGGAGCGCGCCGGAATCGGGCCAAAATGTGCAAATCCTTGCGACCACTGACATAGAGAATGGGCTGTGCGATCCGTATGTCAAAATGGTCGATAGGGATGACTGATGAGAGAGAGGGACCATGGCAGACGACCATTTCTATCTCTTTTCATTCAATAATTTAATGGGTGAGAGAATGAGAGGGGGATTGGTCGTCTCCCACGGACCTCTCTCTCATTATTGTCAACCACATTTGATACACTACTTAGATACGGATTGCACAGTCCATTCTCTATGCTTTGATATATATATATATATAAATGCCTAATGATTCTACATTAGTTGTAAGCTGTAAGTGGTTGTTGTTGTCAGAATTGGCTAATCAAATCAAATATGTGGAGACTATTCGATTGTGATAGCTATATTCTTACAACAAACACTTACAATTATCACTTACAGCTGTATGACAAGTATTATACTTTTAAAATTGCATGCATAAACCCAGTATGTACACACACACACACACACACGCGCGCGCGCACGCACGCATGCACGCACGCACACACACACATACTGGAAGAATATGCAATGCAATGAAAGAATATGCAACCTCAAAAAGGTTACATGTATTGTCAATACATGTTTTACATCCTGATGAGGATATTGGACGTAGCGAAATGTGACTAGAATGCATTCAGTAATTCAGGATTTATTATTTTATCCTCGTTGTTCTCTGAACGTAATATAAGGATAAAATAATCTCTGGGTGCATCCGGTTTCTGAAGTTTCTGAACGCAGTCCTATATTGCACGTATGCGGTTTAAGTTTGAGCTAGAGTGGTAAGTAGGAAATGGAATAAAAATGTCGGTATTACCGACATTTTTAGTTCCGTTTATTAGAGGGCGTTTTCCCGTCGGAGTTCGGCGTTTGCTTTAGGATCCCCTTAAATCCCAGCTCAGGGAATCAATCATGTAATTGTGGTAATCCTAATGAGTGTCCAATTTCATGTATTAACGTGTTAAGCAGATAGTCCTTGTTACTACTAGCAGATTTGTCAGTTAGATATATATGCCACGGTTCTGCACTATCTATGTGTATTTCACTGCTGTAATTGTTAACGGTAGGAGGATAGAACGCGTGAGCGAGTACTCCACCAGGTCCATCTAACGAAGAGGTGCAAATTTCTTCGTTGCGTCTACGATCAGCGTACGTGTGTGTCCCACTACGATAAGATATCAAGATATCGGGATTTACCGTTTTACGTTCGAACGATAAAGATGAATTCGCTGCCCATAGCGAGAACGCGAATTCGGTAGTTTGCAAGGTTTGTGAATCCGCTAGCTGGAAATTCCACGTGAGATGTGTTTTCGCCCATTTACGTCTACCTATATTGTACTCGTAGATGTCAGGGAGACCACATCGTGGTTTACGCATCTGATACAACGTATAGTTATTCAATGTA